GAGGGAAGGAGGGGGGAGGGAGGGAGAGAGAGAGAGGAAGAGAGAGAGAGAGAGAGAGAGAGAAAGAAAGAAAGAAAGAAAGAAAGAAAGAAAGAAAGAAAGAAAGAAAGAAAGAAAGAAAGAAAGAAAGAAAGAAAGAAAACCAAGTGTAATATGCCACAGCATTTAATTTACAACAATCAACAATAACATGATTAGCAGCCAACTAGATGAAAAATGCTTACTATGTATCACTAATCATCAGAGAAATGCAAAATCACACCAGGATACCTCACACCAGGCAAGTGGCTATTACCAAAGAAGTGAAAGCTAGCACGTGCTAGTGAGAACACAGGAACACGGAACTTCTGCAAACCTATAGTCACTAGAGTGTAGTAGTATTTACTCATCCGGACTACCAGCCTGCAAATATGAAAGCATGGCCTTAGCTTAGGCTTTTTCCCAACTAGCTCTTATAACTCAAATTAACTTGCCTCTATTAATCTACATTCTGCCACGTGGCTTGGTTACCTGTGCTCTGTACTGTATGCCCAACTTCTTCAGAGTCTCACTGGTGTCTCTCACCTCTCTTTCTCCCAGAGTTCTCTCTCTTACTGCAAGTCCTGCCAATTCTCTCCTGCCTACCTATGAGTTTAAGGCCAGCCTGAACTACAGAGGACATTCTAGGACAGCCAGGGCCACACAGAGAAACCCTGTCTCAAGAAAAAATAAAATCATCCTCAGACCTCTATAGGTGCACTGTGGCACTCATGCACCAGAATTCACATTTACATATCACACACATACACACACACACACACACACACACACACACACACACACACACACACACACTCTCATACTAAAGTAGCATGGTGGTCATTGGAGACTAGAAGGGAAAGAGAGAAAGATCAGGTACCAAAATATAGCTGAACAAAGTTCCAGTATTCTTTAGCACAGCTGAGTGACAACAGTTTACAAAAATTTATTGCATATTTTATAAGAATTAGGAGAATAAAGTCTGAAGGTTTCCAACACAAAGAAATGCTGTTTAGAAGAAATAAAAATGCTAATTAAGATAATCTGATCATAACTACACACAGGTATTGAATTATCACACCATACTCATAAATTTGTACAATTCTGTGTCAATCAATCAAAAAATTTAGGCCTGGTGTGGTGGCCCATGCCTTTAGTCCCAGCAGAGGCAGACAGATCTCTATGAGTTTGAGGCCAGTACAGTCTACATAATGAGTTCCAGGACAGACAGAGTTACATAGTGAAACCCTATCTCAAAAAAAAAGTACATTGCTCTAATTTTATATTAAGCTTTCCAGGCTTTACTATATTGTAAAATAACCCAAAGAACAGAGAAAGAGAAAGGTATGTTTTATTGGCATTTTGGCCTAGCACAGTTCAATTCCAATAACAAAGAACAAAGCAATTTATTTCAACAATTGACTATGACAATTAGATGTTCCTGCTTTCCCATCGTCTGATTGTGTTCATGCAAGTACAATCACAGTCACCACTACTGTCCTTAGCAACTATCAGAGCACCACCTTGCATTTGCAGCACTTGATACATAAAATTCATTGTCAAACTTATCTGCTTTAGCAATGTAAACATTTGCTACAAGTAAACTTTAAAGGTAAAAGTGAATGATACTAATCAATAAATCAAATAGAACTATCTCCACATGATATAACTAAACATTATATAATACTGTCTCAGTAAGAACCACAAATTAATAAATTTCACAAGGAAGAAACCTGAAACAAAAGTGAAGTGAAAACTCCTAAAGTAGTGTTAAAATACTGAAGGATACAATGGAAAATTTATCTAGGAAGGGAAAACAACAAAATGATATAACAAAAACAAAATATGGTTAATAATTACAATAGTCTTTTTACTTCCAAGAATTTTTTCATCACCCTGACAACATGCTTTATTTTTTTAGCTTCCTTACAAAATTACTCTGGTTAGTCACATGAGTTGGGTACTTGGTGGGAATTTCACATTTAATGTCAGCTGTGAGGTTGTTACCTCACTCAGATTTTTTAGCTCTAAATAATTTTTGCAAGTAACCAAAAACATTAAGTTCCCTTCATAAGAATTACTACTATAAAGTCAAATAATTCCTAAATAAATCACACAAATAAATCCACTTTACAAATACAGAATAGGGTATACATGTGTGCTAAAAAAAAAAACACAGAAAAATTACTTGACAAAGAAGCAAACTCTTCATATGCCATGACTACTAATTTGTTCCTTTCTGGCTGCTATTAAATATTCCTAACAGGTCAGTGAGGATACCCAGTGCCACTTTGGATCTGTCTGCAGTATACAAATAAGTGCTATCTGTAATACAAAGCAGACCATTCTAACTCTTTAAACATATTAAATCATAAAGACCTCAAATTTATAAAAACCAGTTATAATACTGTACCAAGCAAAACCAACTTGTTCTCATTGCTCTTATTATATTTCAGCTTAATCATCGATATTTGTTCATGTATCACCTCAGATCATACTGCCACAAAACAGATTTGGAGAGAGATCTCTGTTGCTTCCAGAGATAAATGGAAAAGCAAAAGAACCTGGAATAGCATTTCACCTTGAGTGTCTAACACTTCTGGCATGTCAAGCAGCACTTGACACAGCAAGTTTCTTCAAATGATCCATAAACACTTGTAAACTAACGTCATCTGTGAGAATAGGTGCTCCAGACTCCTGGAGGAAAAGAGAAGGAGTTGTGATTAAAACACAGGGCAGTACTAAGGGATGCACATGGAAATCTACAACAGACAAGGACCTCATTTTAAATAGAGTAAAGGCTACCACAGGGCCCTGCTTCCGGAGAGGGAACTCATCTAAATGCCCAGGATGGCCTGAGCAGCAGGACTGTCTGTGGTGTAGGGGCTGCTCCTGAAACTCAAGCCTCTGCTAGGAAATGACTGTCTCAGGATGGGGCTGGTCACCACTAAGACCAACAGTGTCAGAGTGGAGGGTTAGGGCTTTCAGATGGCCTGGGCTGGTGAGGATGCAGGGAAGGAGGAGCCATCGCTGCTGAGGGAAATGTGCAGCCACCCTAGACACATTACAGATACTCTTCAAAAAACACTGCTTACTATTTTCACTTAAGAGTGAACCAATGAAAATGTTAGAGATTCATTCAAACAACACAGCAAAAGCAGAGCTGCCCTGTGACCCAGCTGCCATGTACCACCTCTGAGCATTTACCCAAGGATCTAAGTCCTGCCACAGAGATGATAATGCTTGCATGCTCACATTTATTACTGAACTACTACTCACAATAGCTAGGCTACGGAACTAGCCAAGATTTCTATGAACAGATAAAAAAAAAAAGTGGTACACATGCACAGTGGAACATTATTTAG